TAGTTCTATCGGCTCTATTCTAGACCGTGCCTAAATTAACCAACTAGCTTCTTCCGTCTCTTCTCTAAGTAGTTATAACATTGTACTTAAAGCGTCCGTAACATAAAGCCGTAGTAAATAAGAAATAAACCCTAGTACTAGCCTACTAAATTAGTAACTTTGTCTGGTTAAATATAAGAAATCTAAATATAAAACGCCTTACTAAGAAGCTTAATTAGAAGAACGCAAGCCCTTATAAGGTTAAGAAGGTCGTTTCCTCTTACGCCTACTAGTTAAAGCTCCCCAATACGGTTAAAATCCACCCCATATTCTATACGTCAGTCCTCTACCTTACTACCCCCGTATTAGACGCCCTACTTAAATAGATATAAGACCCTCCCCTACTAGTTAAAGTAGATAGTAAAAACGAGTACTTTATTAAAAGAATTAATGACATTAAGTACAATAAACGGAAACGCTAGTATATATACCTTATAAAATGGAGAGGCTTTACTAAGCCCTTATAGGAACCCATTAACTCTATAGGACTTATATAAGCTATAAAAGACTTTTATAAACTCTACCTAGAACTATTATAGCCCTATCTCGTAGAAGCTTAAGTTTAAAGAGGGGTATAAGGGGATCTTATAGACAGGGGGCTATAAGGACACGATTGGAACAAGATAGATTGGTAAGAGAGATAAATCCTTAAGGAGGTAAGGCCTCTAGGATTGTGGAGACTATATACTACGGGTACGTGCCTTTAGTATATAACTGGCGACCATCTAAGGGGTGTCTGGGGGTTGTCCTAAGGGTAACCTAAGGTGTCCGCAATAATATCCCTTATAGGGGGGTACTATTATAGGATACCCCCGTAACACCTTATATATATCTACCTATTTCTACTAACTTAGTAACTAAAGACTAACTATAAGATGGCAATTTGCGATAATCTAACGGCAATCTGCTATATTCTACTATATTCCGCTAAGTTTTACTAAATCCTACTAAGTTCTACTAGGACTACTACCTAAATCCTATTTTACTCTATATACGTATTAACTAAGCAACTAAGCTAACAATATATACCCTTTCTCCCAATTTTCCTACCTTCTCTCCTTATATAACGTCTTGACCTTAATACACAGTTTATATATATAGCTTAATAATATCTACTTCGCTATATATTATTATTACTTATACTTACTTCGTAATAAAGACTAGAAGAGTTTAAAGCTAAACTATTACTCTAATACAAGATCCGTGCACTAGGAGACCTATAGTAGTTCTTAAGAATTTAAATTAAATAAGATTAACTAAGTTAAAAGCTCTAGCTCTACCAAGACTTCCACATTAAAAAGATAGCCAATTAATTTAATATTTAACTAGGAAGATCTTCTAAGTTATTACTTTTTATTAAAGAACTAATTCCATCTAACTAGTAGACGAGCCCTTAAAGAATATTAGCCTACTAGTAACGGATTAGTCCGCTTACACTATAAGGTAAGGATATAGATAGGGAGTCTAATAATAGAATAATAGGTATATTATATAGACAGAGACAAATCCTTAAGGGAAAAGGAGGAGTCTATATACGAGGTAGGAAGGGTTTTCCCTAGGTACGTATAGAGCACATGCCTTACGGGCGAGTCACCCCTAGATTACCTTAAGGGTCGCCCATACCTTATAGCTATATAACTATCTACTTAGGTTTTACCTAACAATACCCCCCCCTTTAAAAAGGGTCGTCCCCAATCCTTTATATACTTAAGCCTTAATAAAACCCTATAAAAAACCTTAGTAAGGAAAAAATTTAGAGGGGAAAAAGCGTTTTAATTTTGCGTATAGAGAGACAGGTAGTACACGTACGCGGCGCAAAGATGTTAAGGAACTTCAACTAGCGGTTAAAGTTGTCTAATTGGTCAGATTTGCCTTATTAAGACTCCCCCGCATTTAACTAAGCTAGTAGCAATTTTGTATACCTATTATAGAAAATCCTAATTAATCCATTTAACAGGTAGAGCTAGTAGAGCTTAATACCGTCGCCTAAATTCGGTAGACTAGAAATATTCTAAAAGCTTACTTATATAGGCAGGTCGCTAGTACCTCGCGGGTCGGTTATAGGTTATTTATATATAGCCAGATTTATAAACGGTAAGGCTATATACCTATTAAATCCGCCGCTAACCCTGCTTTAGCCTTACGCTATACCGAATTAATTGCCGGTATTATACTTCTTATTTAGCTTAGCTCTATATAAGGGAGTCTATAAAAGACTTTTATATCCCTACTAATTATTCTTAAAGTATAAATATAATACTAGCGGCTTGTCACGGGATACCCCCGTAACACCTTGCACACGTCTACCTGTTTCCACCGACTTAGCAATTAGAGACCAACCGCGAAATGGCAATCTGACGGCAATCTAATGGCAATCTAACGGCAATCTACGGCATTCTGCCATATTCTGCCAAGTTCCACCGAATTCTGCTAAGTTCTGCCAGGACCACGACCTGAACCCTATTCTGCCTATGCACGTGTTGACCAAGCAACCAAGTCAACGATATATGCCCTTTCTTCCCGTTTTCCTACCTTCTTTCCTTACGCAACGTCTTGACTTCATCACGCAGTTTATGTACATAGCTTAATAATACCTACTTCGCTATATATTATCACCGCTTGTGCTCACTCCGTGACACGGCTATTATAGGAGCTTTAAGTTCGTTCTATATATTAACGGTAGTATAAGTAGTTAACGTAATATAGTATTACGAAGTATAAGCGGCGATAATATATAGCAAGGTAAATATTATTAAGCTATATATATAAACTATATAAAAAGGTTAAGATATTATATAAGGAAAAAATGTAAGAAAACGGGAAGAAAGGGTATATATTATTAACTTAGTTACTTAGTTAATAAGTATACCGAGAAGGATAAGATTTAGGTCCTAGCAGAACTTAGTAGGATTTAGTAAAACCTAGCGGAATATAGTAGAATACGGCAGATTGCCTTTAGATTGCTATAGATTGCGGCAAATTGCGGTCTCATAGTCGGTCTCTAATAATTAAGTTAGTAGAAATAGGTAGATGTATAAAAGGTGTTACGGGGGTATCCTATAACAATTTTAAATATATCTAAAATATATAAGGGTAGTATTAATCTTATCTCGGAGCCTTCTAGGCTATAATCTTATATCTTAGCACAGTATTAGTAGTTAGTTATATTTGCCTATATACCCAGCCTATTAATAAGTCTAGCGTAGTATCTACTAGAATACTTTATTACAAACTTAAAGCGACCGCAATAATATCCCTTATATTAACTTAGACCCCTCCTACCTTACTAGGCGTCTTAGACGCTATCTAAAACTCTATTTAGGATATTTAGTAACTAGTTATAGGCGAGCTTAATAGGGGAATACTTCGTTATAATATAGATCTTAGAGTTATAGGTAAATTTCATTAAAGATTATATACAGCTCCTATACAAATTTAGACGATGCGTTTAATAAAATCTACGAAAGCTCCTTAGACTATAGAATCAACTTTTTAACAAAAAAGGTTAGCGATATCCGCAAGCGGATATACGTATGTCCGCTAATTAATTCTTCGGTCTAAGCTTACTGAGGTAAAGCCGTCATAGACCTCTATTTCTTAAACGGCTGTAAGGTCGGCCAGATTAAAGGCTCTAGTTAATCTGGTTCAAACATAGAGACGGCGTCCAATTAATCAAGACTTAATAAGGCTCTGGCTTAATTTGAGGCATCTTCTACTGCACGCACAATCGAGGCTCTACATCTGTGGATAATTGACTAAGACTTCCGTGTAGACGTACGATCGGCCAAGGCTCTGCACCCGTGGCTCTGCATCCGTATACGACCCCATATAAGACTCCGTGCGAGACCCCCTTTAAGACCCCGTATAAGCTCCGTGTAAAATTCTATATCTGTAGGAAAGATCGTTCTAGCTAACTAATCCGTGGGCATCGAGACGTCGAGACGGGCGCCAATCAATCGATCAAGGGGGGGCGATCAAGGGGAGAGGCTCTCGCAGAGGCTCCAAAACGCTAATTGACCGTGTTTCCGACGTTCTGCCGACGGTATATTAATTTCCTGATTAGGCCTAGTGCCTGCATGCCTGCATGCCCGCGGTGATGTATCTTTGACTGTCGGGCGAAGATGTCTGATTAGACTGCGACGGCATGCTGCAATTGATAGTTCGGTTGACTCTTCGGTTGATCAAGGCTTTCCGTGCTGCCTGTGCAGTCGTCCAATCAAGACTCTGCGTACGGCTCTGCATCCGGCTCTGCATCCGGCTCTGCATCGTCGTACGATCAATCCAGGCTTCGCATCTGTCGACGTTCGATCGAGGCCCTACATCCGTGGGTTCTACATCTGTAGATCGATCAAGGCTCTGTCGTGCAGTCGTTCAGTCGAGGTTCTCGGTGTCCATCAGGCTTCTAATCAGGAAGCAGATCGTCACTCCCCACGTGGAATGCCATAAAATATGTGAGGGGGCGAAGCCCTCCCTAGAAAGTAGAGATGACCAAAAAATGTGTTGAGATAGGTAGTAAGATAAGAGGTGAAGAGGAGCCGAAGGCTCTATCCCTTAACCCGTCAAAATTGGTCCTACGGTATCGATAAGAGCCCGACTAATCAAACCGGTCGAATCAAGCAGCCGTTCTCAGAAATACGAAGCCTTTAACTTCGTTTAGAACAAAACTCCACTTACGCTATGGGCCTTAATGGGATAAGGGATAAATACAAGGCACCAGCTAATCAGGGAAACGACTGTTCTACACCACCACGTTGATAAAATTGCTGCTAAATATTACAAAAACACTAAAGTAGATAGTAATTCTGACTTATAGCGTTAAAGGATATATGCTCTTACGGAAAGAGATATTTTTTAATTTCGTCTAGAGTAGAGTAAAATAAACAGTAATATATATATTATTACTGTTTACTTGTTTATTAAAGAAGGGGGAATCCTGTAAGGGATTTGGTCCCTATAATCAGGGTACCGTGGCAGAGTGGTTATTGCGCTAGACTAGAAATCTAGTCCTCTAGGGGTCGTCCGTTCGAATCGGGCCGGTATCGTGTCTTTTTTTTAGTCTAATTTAATATATTAGTAAGTTCTTTTAGTATTTATTAGTAGGGGGGAAAAGAGAAGTATATAGGTATCGGAGGTCCGGGTTAGGCTTGGCATAACCTCGGGTTACGCACAACCCCCTAAGGTCCGCGATATATCGTCCAAATATTATCCCCCCCTTTTGGTAGTGGCTCCTACTTTTTAGACGCGTTTTTAAGGCTTAGGTTAGTACTAGGTTAGTATAAAGGACCTTATTGCGCGCCTTTGACCTTATTATCGCCTCAATAATCCATTTTTTAACCCTCTTCCTATTTTTATACCCGTGTTAGCTTCTAGCTTACGCGGGGCTTTTAGTTTTATATAGAACGGCCTGCTATAATTCTAATTCTATAATATAAAGCTCTCTTCTTCTCCTCCTCTATTAATATTTACGCGTTTAGTGGCTTTATTTACCTATACCCACGCCGCACTTACACGTCTTCCCCCTAACCTCTTATGGAGATAGAGTCTTTTAAGAATCTTCTTACCCTACGGTCTACTTTGCAGTTAAAGAAAGCCCCCTAGCCTTTTCCTCCCCCTTTTCCTATAGCCTTTAAAACGAATTTAAGGCCTAGACGGTATAGCTATACGATATTTATAAGGCCTAGCGCTTAAAGAATACTATAAGGGCGTATAAGCCAAAGCAGAAAGAGTAGGAAGACTAGTACATAAGACTAAAAGGCAATATAGACGGCGCCTGGGTAATAAAAGATAAGCTTTACCTATTTTTAGAGTAGTAAGTTATTAACTAAGAATTATAGGCTATTAGCTATTAAAAACGGAAGTTAAAATGGAAAGAGATATAAAAAGATGGTAAGTGGGCGAAGAAGAGGTAGAAGATGGTTAAGCAGGTAGGGTAGCTAGAGGGGAAGTCAGCTATAAGGGCAGCTGTAAAGGCAGCTATAGGTATAGAAGAGGAAGCTATAAAGAAGGAAGGGGAGATATAGGATAAGGAGGCCCTAGATGCCCTATTTAACGAGATAGTCTAATACTTAATTATAAATAGCTACGTCTCCGCTATTACTGAGCTTTACGTATAGTAGTTAAAAGGTAAGACCTCGCAGCCGCTATAGGGGGCGAAGCTCTTAGCAGTACTAGACAATATCCGCCGTAATAAGGACCAGATTTAACGCGTTAACTTTATTAATTAAGGCCTATTTATAATTACTAGCGGCTATAATATTAAAGGGCTTAAAAAGGCAATTACTTAGTACTAGGAGACGGGCTCTAAGATACTAGGTTTAGTTAAGTCTTACCTTTAAACTATAGCTAAGTATTTATTAGGTTTATATATACCTTACCTAGTCCGTATAGCTACCGTTTTCTAACCCGTTTCTTAGGCTATACTACTATTACCTATAGTAAAAGTAGATAAGACATTTAGCTTATTAACCTTATTCTTATTAAACTAGAAAATAAAGGGCCTAAACTAGATAAGTTAGCGCTGTATATAATTATATTAATAATATAAGGAAAGCAGAATTAGTACGGCAAGGTTAAGTATATAGGCTCTATATAGAACGCTAACCCTATTCTTTACCCCCTCTCTACAATAGCCTTCTACTTCTTTAACCGCTAGGGTAAAGACGGCGCTAAGAGCTTCCTATCCTTTTAGTAGCTAGAGGACTACTATAACCTATACGTCTTCCCTAGCAGTATTAAAGTACCGTAACGGCCGCTAAACTATTATACGCAGTTTAAATAGAATAAAAAGATATTCTAGGGGGTAGGAATTTACTTAAAGGAGAAGACCTATAGCGCCTATAAGCAGAGCGTCCGGTATACGAAGCTTAGCAGTATTAAGAAGACCTAAATTAGATAGGCCGAATGCTAGAATACGGACGTAATAACAGGAGCCTACCTTAGCTACCTACCCTATATGTTTATATGGTTAATTACTGGCTTTTTAAAAAAAGAAAGGGCTACTTTCTCCCCTATATATAGGAGGTGCTAGAGGAGGCCCTCTGTTTAAAGATATAGCCTAAGACTAATATTTAGCTAAAACGCATAAAGGCCTACTACCTAGGTAGGGCCGATAATAAGGTTATATAGCTTAACCTTACGGGCTTAGGATTTTTATACCTCCTCCGTATGCTTAGGGTAATCCTATTATAGGACTTAGTAATCCTATGTAAGCAGTTCCCACTCTACCCCCTATAAAAGGACCCCCTCTTTAGCTGCAAGGAGTACTAGAGGTTTACTACGCGGGTAAAAAGCTCGCTGGCTAATATAGTTATGCTAAATAAGCTAATAATACGGAAATACTAGCCCGCCTATAAAGCCGTAGCTAAGCTAAGATATAAGGCCGCAATCTTTAAGATAAAGGGGGTTTAATTACGCGTGTAAATAATCTTAGAACGCCTTAGTAAAATAGAAAGGTTATTAGTATTATTCGCACCTATATAAATCTAGTAAGGGAAGATAGGTATCTAGATAGGGCCTATAAAGTCTATATATCTACCTTTAGGCGAGCCCGCGCCGTCTACTATAATATCTACTATATCCGCGCCGCCTACTTAGCCGTCTATAATATCTATACTACCCACTTAGCCGCCGTTTATAATATCTATACTATCCACTTAGCCGTCTATAATATCCACATTATCTACTTAGCCGTTTATAATATCCGCACCGCCTACTTAACCGTCTACTATATTCGCACCGCCCTTACTAGCGCAGGCACAAGCTAATACTTAACTATCTCTCCTATTTATCCTTAACCTATAGGCGCCGCTAAGAAAATATAAAATGCTTTAAGGCGGTAATTTAGTCTTCTAGCTTTAGACTAAGTAGACTTTAAAGCTAGTAGGTAGGCCATTAATTAAAGCTCTTAATTGCTGCTAGGGGGTACGCTAGCGGGTTAACGGCAAGGCTATATTCTACAGCTGTTACTATAGGATAATTAAGGATATAAGATGGCGTGTAGAAGACGGTACGGCAAAAGATAAGAAATAGGCTATTAATTAGCTGGAACAGCTATAAGGTCGGCGTTCTTTAGATTAGCTTTATAAGAATATCTAAATAGTTATTTTACTATAGTGACTAAGACGCCTTAATATATAACTGCACTATGGTAACTAAGACGCCTCTATATACGATTATACTGTAGTAACCAAGACGCCTTAATATATAACTATACTGTAGTAACCAAGACGTCTTAATATAGGACTGTATTAGTGACCGAGACGTCTTAATATAGGACTGCACTGTAGTGACTAAGACGCCTTAATATATAACTGCACTATAGTGACCGAAACGTCTTAATATAGGACTGCACTGCATTAACTAAGACACCTTAATATAGGACTATACTATAGTAACTAAGACGTCTTAATATAGGACTATATTATAGCAACTAAGACGCCTTAATATAGGAATAGAGCCCGTTTAGGTGTTGTAAATTTAGAGTAATATTACGCGACCGTCCAGAAGTACCGATCTAACACAAATTATATACCTTTTCGCCTAAAATCGCGTGCAAAAGTACTCGGGGGCGGTCGCTGCGCGACCTCGTGCGGGGTTCGGGGGCGTTATCAGCAGGGGTGGCCCTAACCTCGTATTAACCCGGGTCGTAACCGCGCCAAATCAGCCCCCCCAATATGTGATAGATATTGTAACAAACCTCTTTAGCTTATAGTACGTATATAGTACCTAAGTAGTAAAGTGGGGTAAATTGGCCCACTAGATTTAACATCTAGATTAGGTATAGATTTGGGAGTATATAGGCCTTTTAAGGGTATATAGACTGGCCCGTGGCCCCGGGGTCTTTAATAACTTAAATAGGCTCGACGAATATACAGTTTCCTATATAGAATACACTCCTTTTTTCTCTTCTTACTAACGGTTTTACTACTAGCTAATTATAACTAACTGACTAACTACACCGTAACTTCCTGTCTAGAGAGAGACCTTCCCTTTTATATTCTTTATGGCATTCTATAAGGGGACGATAGTAAGCTCTGTAGATTAGAAGTCTAGCACTCTATATATAGGAGATATGTAAGAATATACTGCAGCCATAGAAGGACTAAAAACTGTTAAGTCACTGTTATTAAAAGCCATTAAGTCACTAATAGGTGCGGAAATTAAGCATGGAACTACTAGCGACGTATTTATAGGCATTACTATTATTAAGATAAGTTAATAATACTTTTAGAGATTATTATCCAAGACCTATAGTAGACGGAATAGATAACTAGGAGTAGGAATGCGAATATAGGGTATAGTAGGGCGGAGGATAAAAGAGAGGGTTATAATATATCAGGACTAGCAGAAAGAAGTCTTTAAATTTTTATTTACTATATTTGCAACAGTCTATATAATTCTTCTTGCATTTATATAAGCCTCCCTTAAATTTATAAGAGTAATAGCGATAGGACCGATAAAGGGAATACTAGTAATGCTAGGCCTATTAACTTACAAAGTTTTCTTAACCTAGAGGATGCGGTACTAGACTTAACCCCTATAACGTCTAGAACTAATAACCTTTAGTAAAAAGAGGATAAGAATTAGGAGGTTAACTTACCTATTTTAGATAAAAATGCAAGTCTATTGCCTTATAATAAACTACTAATAAAATAAGATAAGGTATATATTATATCCTAGCCTATACTAGCTTTAGGAACTTTAAGAACTCTTTACTTTACAGGACAAAACATATTATAATTTATTAAGTAATATAAGCGACTATATATCCAACACTATATTATAAATAAGGAGAAGTATTAAGAACATTTAGAATATTATAACTATTAGATAGGGACCTAGATCTAAAGCCTACCTAAGTTTATTATTAGTAAATAGACGAAACTTATAAAAAAGGTTTAGATGGACTACTAAGGAAGTAACTACTTTTAATAAGTTAAGACGGTAGAATTCTTAAAAGCTTATATACTGTAGTATAGAAATAACCCACCTAGTAGTATATGCGAATACTAAAGATAATTTATACTAATTTCCTAAAAGGTTA